CTTCTTTCCGCCCTTCCGAATGTCTTTATTCTTAACTTCTTTTCCTGGGAAAAAGCTACACTCGGTGGAATGCAGCGTCCTCACCTTTCGTTGTTGTATTAGACTTCGATACTGCCGCTGCCATAAGAAGAATCCTAAGTTCAACCCTGCAAGATACAAAATAGGTCCAACCCTAAGCATTGAACTCCAACACAACTCCTATTATCTCGAAACTCATCCCTAGACACTTACATCATCTTCTGTTGAATCCATCCCGGCAACCACTGATCATTCGGATTACCTCCTTCTCGATCCATTTTGTCTAAGTCGATCGGGACACCCCAAATACGACAATACATCGACAACCCCTTCCCACAGGCCCGGCTCACTCTACTCCACCACTCGGTAGGGTCTGGCTCCTCACCAAAGGTACCATCTTGTTCGTAACTCCTCAAGACTCCTTTCAAGAGATCCCACCCGAAGGTCTCTATAATATCGACATACATAGTGAGACCAACCCAAGGGCTCCACTGATCTAGGGCGTCAGTGATTGGCCGACGATTATGCGCAGCGGAATAAATCGCCCCTCCACCTCCTTCCGACTGAATCCTCTCTGTGATGAACTTCTCAGCCTTCTCATGTCCTTCCCGAACGTTTTCCATATCCCGAGTCGGAATTTTTCGCCCAATTATCGTAATCATGCTGTACATACTGAACAGATTGACAGTAACTTCCCCACACGCCTTATAAGTCCATCTACGTCGCTGGAAATGATGACCAAGTTCATGGAACAAACCCCAGTCTCCCTCCAAGAGCAGCTTGCCCCCCTGCCTCGCACCGCGAAGATTTCCTTCTCCCCACACCGCACAGGCATCTTCTGCTGTCGGATTCTCATGAGCCATTATTGGATATCCACTATGCATCCAACCAGCTGAAATTCTAACATCAAAAACGAATCTAAAACGCTCCTCCCCACAAACAGGTCGACAAGCGAGATCACAGTGGCTCCGAATAACCCTATCCCAAAAGGCGGCAATTGTATCCGCCCAACCATCACGAGGACTGCCTCCACTCGAGGGAAGGGCATGAGGAAGAAGGAGATGCATTGGGAGCGATAAGATAACGTGCTTGGCTTGGATCTCTCCCCAAGGTGGATACGCTTCTCCCGCACGCGGAAGATTTTTAAGATTCTCCACTGGATGGCCACCAAGCATCCACACTCCATTAGACCACCACAGCGTCGGTACACCTCCTTGCACGCGTGCACACACCATGAGTATTGAATCAACGTTGAGGTTGATGCCCTGCGCCTTAGAGGGCTCCACACCATTCTCGCGTATCCTCTCCAAATACACTAGACCTCCAAAAACAGATACCAACTCGACCTCGAGATTCCTTCCAGAAAGGATATCTTTGCTCACAGCAGAGATTCTGGGCCATCTCTTCCAACTATCATGTTTGGTATTATCATCCTTATGGCAACCAATACGAACTCGAAAACCAAAATCATCTGTAAGTACCTCTTCCATAGAAAGAGGACTACCCTCACCCTTGACGGCCCCTTGAGCATTACCAGCTCGAATCAGGGATTCCAACCTAACCCTTATAGGTTCACCAGGCCTCGCATAGACCCCTGTGCTGATCCAAGGATCGAAGCTCCTCCCTGTCACTGAGGAATGAGGTGTATCTTTAGCAATGGCCTCGAAGGTGATCTTCACTTCTTCCCCATTGATGATCCCTTGAGATCTACTCAGTGCATCTTGACCCATTGGAGGGCAGACCCCGGGGAAGTCTTTACCAGCGAGGGCAAGGACGTCGTTAAAACTGATGTCCCCTGGAATCCTTTGGGGTGCGAACTCTAAGAAAGTTGCAACTAGCTGCATTAAGCTTGTCTTCTTGGCACCATCGCCTTTCCTCCATCTCCCCGAAGAGGCATCCGTCAACAACTGACGTATCTTTGATGTATCTTCTCGGGTGAGATGCAATCTCTTGTTCACAGCTTGCAACACAATATCACCCATCCTAGTGGGCTTACCAGGAACCACACATACCTTCATCAGAGGTATCAATGTGTGGAAGGAATCTTGGCTCACTTCGCTAAGCATGGTCACACTCCGCTCACACGTTAGAGGTCGCTGACCTGGAAGATACTCCGACTCAAAACATATCCCAGCTTGGAGGGCAAGCTCTTGCATGGGATGCTCAACAATAGTGTGACCTCTGTTGAGACACTCCCAACCCCAACCGTTGACACCGATAAGGAGACCCACACCTTGGTCGCGTATGAGAGAGAGGATCCGATTAGCCTCTTGGGGAGTCGTTGGATTGTGGAGCGAGAGGTCGTTAGTTCGATACGAGATGACATCATAATCATCCCGCGATATAACAGTACTATGGTCTTCATAATACCGAACCAACACGCCCTTCTTAGACCGAGCCACCCACCTCCTGGCCCGCTGCATTACCTCAGCGGCGACCTTGGACTCCTCATTATCGGGGGCATTATCATACGCTAGGGGAATGTACCTATACGGAAGGTCTATTGAATGGATACTTAGCGATGAATATCTAAAGTGAGACCGAAGATATCATCATAATATCTAAGAAAAATTGCTAAAGCCAACCAACAACGATACTATAAGCCTCAGCCAAGACTGATCTACAGTAGGGGCAACGATGGGGTCAGGTCTGTGATGTAGTACACTAGATACGTATGATTCCATAATCATGATATGCTCGAAGGGTAGGAAAGTACGGCAAGAGAATCCTCGGAGAATACCCAGAGCATGACTCCTCACAATATTACCCTTCGTGACCGACAGCAACGATGCGACCTTTGCCCAGAGTGGCGCAGGCCAAGAGACACTGAGGTTCCGGTCCAGGGGTCGAGATAATGCAACGAGATGTGTCCGAGAAAACAGATAACTGAATTATCCATGTCTTGCGCAGATCGAAGAAAAGGTACTTACTGTCGCAGGCGTCCCAATGACTTGGAATTTACTCAAGTCAAGATGGTCGGTGAGGTCCCTGAGGACGGTATCGAGAGGACTGGAGTGCCTATCCCCTCCCGACGAATCCACCATTGTCACATGGACTGAATTGGCGTAGTCCCCAGTAGGGAGGTTATTGAAAGGATCGAAATGTGATGACATATTAAGCAAAATAATAACAACTGCGAGCCGAAACTGGGAGTATAAACTACAGCTCTGAGACACAATGCGATAATGATCATGGCAGCTGAAGAGAGGTCTATCATGGCAACGCATCGTTCGATTGTGCGCCATGTTGCACAAAGATTCAGCATTCGATGTGCGCAATTTGCAGGATGGGAAGAGCGCATCTTAGAACGAAGGTAACCAGAAACGAGATCTCAGATTTCATTCTGCAATAATAAGAGACACTCCTGTGTCCCGGAAGGAAGCACGATGTTGCTTGCCAAAACCTAACACTGAGAATCTCACACTGCGACACCTGGATCGGAAACCACTTTTGGGGGGGCGACTCTGCCCATTGAGAGGCACTCTTCTGCCGAGGTTTCAGTTTTAAACAGAGCTCCGTTAGCAGAGCGCCCTCAGTTATTGAGAGCCGCTCCCCCAGGGACCACCGCGAGGAGGTGGAGTTGATTCGGTCCCCATAAGTTTTTTCTTGTTTTTTGGTTATTTTTTAAGCGGCGACCTTTTCAGAACTTGGAGAAGTCGAGCTTCTTCTTCACCGACTGACATGTTGCTCGACGATGAAGGATCGCGATCTCCCATTCCCCCCATGGAGGGAATGGCGGAAGCCAGCCTTTTGGCATGCCATCGCGTTGCCTCTTAAGGAGGCGAACCCCATTAAAGCCGAGGTATGGGAAGTCCACTTCCTCGACAGCCTTGCCCCTGCACGCCGGGCGCGGGGTGTCAACTTTCTTGAAAGTCATCATAGCTTTGTTAACTCAACTTACCACCTCCCGATTGGCAAATCGATTAAGGGCGCGTTCTGAGAGGGATTCTCTCGTCAGATGAAACGGTGTGGGGCGTGCGCGGATGCCAGACCCAAGTTCAAGATGTCTTCCGGCGTGACAAGCTCCACAAACCGTGTCGGGCGCTCTCTCAGACATGTGCAGGGCGCCCTCATGCAGCACCTAGATTCTCGCAGAGCCCTTCTTTAGCTGCCTCACATTGTCCAGGTGATGCAGCTGTATATCGTTTCCCAGTATCTGTTAGCATACACAATCCTTCTGCACAATCGGGGAATCATGGAGGTCATTGATTAAATCCATTGATCAATGGCCTCCATGGGAAATCTCATGTCCCGAGTTCTCCGGTTACGAAATGCTCTGTGTTCACACTAGATAGTTAGGCCATGTCAGCACGTTGGAAAAAATCAAGGAGTTCATATTCATCACTGATATCTTCTTTGGGGGAAGCTTCCTCGGATTTGGAACGATCACAACTGCGTCATCAATGGTAAACTACCACTGGTAACTTGTCCAAGTTCAACTGTAAGTTGAGTGGTGGTTTACCAAATGATCCCCACCACTCGAGCTCCTATGGGGCGAGTCTTTCCGTATCCGAGATTGATAAGACATAATAGCACCACCCCTGCTACTACTGAGGTGAGCTACCTATGGATGGATATGTTATGTAACTCTCTCTGTTACAATAGAATACTGGCATAACACTGTAGGTTGGTGTAACTGATGCTGAGCGTTGGGAGCTGCATTCGTCCAAGTCGTGGATGGAATCTCCCATCGCTCTCACTAAGCTTATATGGAGGACGGCGATGCGGGGGGTTCGAGATGAACGACTCTGGGCTAAATTTAGTAGGATACTCGATCATTGACGTGTATGAATGAGTATTGGCTCTCGTTATCTTGGGAAGTATTTTTCAAGCCCCGTTACTACGGAGATCACCACAATTTCGTGTGACGTATATGCCGCCTGAGCAGCTATCTATTCGGTCGGGTATTGATTACTACATATCATGATGTAATCTCACACAGGAGTGGTAGATATATCATCACTGTTTGTTGTCTTCTATTTTGAATCACATTGGAAAAGTCCTCGACTTGAATTCACTTTGCCTCGTCATTGATAGCAACTCCAATAATATGAACATCCTTGCGTGTTGGGAATTTCCCACGAAAGATGCTGTTATATATCAGGCAAACGAACTGTCCTCATGTCGGTGCATATGAGCCATCGTGAACTCACTACATGCCTCCTAGGATTCGCTAAGATACGCTATAGGGATCCGAAAGTGAGACATTGTCCTCCATCCGACCTCAGAAAATATCTTTCATATAGTTACTGCAATCGATGAGTCCGGTGATATTGAAGAATATACCAGAATTCGACACTCTAGAATTGGCCCTTCTCCTGGGTGCTTATCGGAGGCTCGAGTATCGGAGAATCGATCAAATCGAACTCCTCTTGAATGAGGTATTAGTTTATCTCCAAGTCTTTCCGATTAGCATTATTAACTGATAATGTGAAAGATGCGCAAACTGCGCTAGAGTCTTTCCGAAACCGACTCGATCTTGAGTGGTTTTGTACTTATATAAGCAATGATGATTATGTAAGAGGTTTCTCAC